GAGGAGCAAGGCCAGTGCGTGCAGAGCATGCTCAGTAGCTGCTACCCAGCTGAGTGCTGCAGGGGAGGAGAGGTCTGGGGAAGGGGGCCTTCACAGCTCAGGGCTTCCTATCGCTTCAAAACTTCAGACTGGCAAAAAGAGGAAGTCCTTGCTGCCAACGCTTTTGGGGGCAGGGTGGAAGTCACACGGAAATCTTACCTCCCTCCGAGATTTCTGAACGTTCGGGTTGGCATTATCTTGATTCAGAGGTGAGGAAAGAGAGAAGACCACATGTAGGAGATGTCCATGAAGACGATAATATTTATTCATTTTGCTATTGCTATTATAACTCGCATCGATCCCACTAGGAACTAGGCACTGGTCTAAGCACACAATGCTCCCAACAACCCTCTGAGGTAGAGATTATGAACACTTTTTGAAAGCTGGGGAAAATGAAGCACAAAGGGGGTGGGTGCCACTATGGACCTCACCGTGCCACCCCCCAATGAATATGCTGAAGCCCTAAGCCCCAGAGTTTATACTTGGAGATAGGAATCTTTAAGGAAATCATTAAGGTTGAATGAGGTCATAAGAGTGGGGCCCTAATCCAATAGGACTGGTGTCCTTATAAGGAGAGGAAGTGACATGTGGACATGGAGAAAAGGCCACATAAGGAAGACACAGCAAGGTGACCATCTGCAAACCAGGGAGAGTGTCCTCACCGGACACCAACCCCGGCGGCACCTTGCTCGTGGGCTTCTGGCCTCCAGAACTGTGAAAAAATAAATTTCTGTTGTTTACCACCCCCCACCCCAGGCTGCAGAATTCCTTTATGGCAGCCCTTGCAGACTGATACAAGGTCACTTGCCCGGATCTTTTGCCTGGCATTTTAATCCAGGCCATTTTCTTTTTTTTTAAAGATTTTAATTATGTATCTATTTTAGAGAGAGAGAAAGCCTGCATGTGCAGGCGAGCAGGCAGGGGGTGGGGCGGGTAAAAGCAGAGGGAGAGGGAGAGGAAATCTGAAGCTGACTCTGTGCTGAGGGTGGAACTGACGCAGGGCTCAACCCCACAAGTGTGAGATCATGACCTGACTCTACACCAAGAATCAGACGCTCAACGGACTGAGCTTCCCAGGCGCCCCCCAGGCTACTTTAATCCATGGCTATTGCACTGTGCCTCTTGCCCTGGTAGAGTGAGAGAGAGCCCCACTGGGGAGCAGGATGATGGTCATAGAACTACCAATATGCATGGGCACTTAGTCTGCACCAGCCCAATGCGCTTAGCGCAGATTATCCGTGTAAAACCAACAGCAATCCTGGGAGGCTAATGCCATGATTGTCCCCATTTCCTAAAGCTGTAGGAGCATTCCAACGGGGGCAAACACGCTCCAGAGCCAGCGTGGAACGGTAGGCTATTCTATAAGTAATTGCAACCATGAGAGATCATTCTGTTTTGGTCAGCTCCACCACTTGGCCCAAAACTGTTCAACTCAGCCTTGCAGGTGAGATAACATAGTTGAGTTGAGTAATAATGAAGCCCCCCACTTCACTGAGAAGGCCTTTGAAATAAATGAGCCAATGAGGAAGGTGTTCCCTCTAAGACATCACAGCCTTGGAGGAGAAAGGGCCTGTGGGGAGGCAGCCCTGCCCTCATGGGCAGGGGTGGGGAGAAAGAGGAGCTCTGTTAGAGGGACGTGACCCAGCCAGGACTACTGCAGTGGATGAACAGGGTCACTGTCCTTGCTCCCTTTGAATACACAACGGCTAACGGGGACTCAGCAGCAGTCAGGTTGGGATCCAAGGGGGATTCTTAATATTGCCCCTGTTTCCCACTACATCCACCAGAGAGAAAGAATGCCCCCATTTCCACTTCCATCACTGCCCTCTACCTCCCCCCAAAGAGGCTTTGCTTCCTTGTTCAGGTGCTCAATTTCATCAGTCCTGTGGGTGGAAGGACTGGCATAAAGCATCTTCTTTCTGCTGGCATAGCATTTCCCGAAGGGCAAGATGTGTTCCACAGGTGGGCACGGGTGAGACAATTCTTTTGCAACCCGCAAGCCTCAGCTCAGTGATAAAGTGTTTTCATAACACCTCTCGTGTTTGCTCATATTTGAACAGAGAGACCAGACTTCAGATCCAGAGACTCCCATGGGCAGCAAGCAGTGTTTCCACCTTTTGGAAACTCCAAATGACACATACAGTCACACAGCTCACTGATGCCCTGCTCACGCTTTTTAATTCTTTTTTACTCTCTATATTGCATTTTAGATGGTTCCTGTTGCTTTGTCTTCAAGTTCACACATCTCCTCTTCTGTGATGTCTGATCTGTAGTTAAACCCACCCGGTGTATTTTTCACCTCAGACATGTAGTTTTCATGTTGAGAAGTTCAGTATGGGTCTTTTATATATCTCTCTTCATGTCTCTAACTTTCTGATCATGTGCAGTAAAGTTACAATTACTGTTTTGTCTCCTAATCCAAACGTCTATATCACCTCATGCATTGGGTCCAATTTTCCAGTTTCTCTAATTAGATGCTAAACATTGTGAATTGGATGTTGTTGGGTTCTGGATGTTTCTATGTTTTTTATAACCAATTATTCTTGATCTTCATTCTGGAATGCATTTAAATTACTTGGAAACAGTTTGATTCTGTCATGTCTTAATTTAAAAAATTTTTTAGACAAGACCCAAGCAGCATTCAGTCTATAGCTAATTATTCTCCACTATGGAGGCAAAACCTTTTCAGCATCCTACCCCATGAATTATGAACTTTTCCATTCCAGCTGGTGGATAAACACTATTCCTGGCCACACGTGAATGCCAGGTACTACTCCCTCCACTCCATTCAGGTGGGTCTTTCCTCCCCATCATCAGCTCACACACATGCTGATCTTACTCTGCCTCATCCTGGAGGGGGCCCTCTCTGCACTTGCAGAGTTCCCTGTGGGCGGCTCCCTCCTCTCCCAGAAAGGCACTGCGAGCCCTTGCCACTGTGGTCTCCCCAGACTTCCAGCTCCATCTCCTCAACCAAGGGAGCTGCTGGGCTTCACCTGGGTTCTCCCTCTGCACACCACAACCTGGAAGTTCTTTAAAGGCAGTGAGCTGGGTGATCATACGGCTACCCATGTTTGTTTCCCCTCTTAAGAGTCCACTGGCCTTCCTTGCCTGATTTCCACGATCTTAAAAACTTTTCATATATACTATCCTTTTTTTTTTTTTTTTTCCGGTTGTTTCAAGTGGCAAGGTAAATCTGTTTCTTGTCACTCCATCTTGGTTGGAAATAGAAGTCCCCTGTTCACTCCTTCAACTGGATTTTGTAATTTTCTACACATAGGTTTTATGAAGACCCTCTCATTAAATGTGTCTAAATATCTAATTTTTATTGTAACTATTTCCTCTCATCTCCATTCCTACTTCTAGACTAGATAAGCTGTCTATGTAATGTTTACACATGCATATTGACTTGTGTGTATGTACTATTTATCAACAGATGTCCTGAGATTGAACAATGCATTGATCATAAATTTATTCAGTGGCAAGAAACGAAGATGAGAGACACCTAGAGCTAGTGTAGCTACTCAGCAATGGCAACAGGGACTCAAGCTCTGCTCCACACTCCTCAGCACACTGACTTTTGTCCTCATACTTGTTACCTCATGGCACAACATGGCTGCTACAACTCTAGGCCTCATGTCTGTGATCAAAGCAGGAAGAAGGAAGGGGTAAGCAGGGAGTAGCAATTCCCTTACCAAGAAAGCAAAGAGTTTCTCAGAATAAATTAGTTGGTGTCCAATTGGCCAGCATGTGAACATTTGACCACCTATAATAGCAAGTCAATCTGGAGAAGCAGATGTTTAGCCGGAAATTTTGCCACAAATTCACAAAAAAAAAAAAATCAGGGTTCTGGTGGGTAACAAAGAACTGAGAATTGATATTGGACACACAACTAACGGGTCTACAAGCTACTCTTGCATTCTTAGAATAAACCTTGCTAGCTTATCGTGGACTATGCTTTTAAATACATTTGACCATGTTTTGACTTTTTTTTTTTTTAAGCTATTGCAATATTCAGGATCAAAGACTTGAACTAAGATAGTGTAACGGAAATAGAAACATACTGAATATATGCTGGGAGGCAGCACCAAGGCCCTGTGACCAGACCTAACCGCACATAGAAACACTAGCAGCAGAAACAAAAGGAGTACAGAAATAGAAAGGGCTACATAAATTTTAAAAGGGAATAATCACCAGCGGTATTAAATGTTAAACGGTCTTTAAACACAAATGCTGATATAATTTTGAAATTTTCTCTTTCAGATTTGGAATGTCCTCATTTTAAACAACACATAGAAAAAAACTATTTACCCATCTTTCTCTCTCGACTTTTTATTAAAATAAAACTATTGTTGTGATAATAGGATAGTGGTCTTTATCTTTCAGATACTAAAATATTTATAGAGAAAAGTATACATTTAATATTTGCTTCAAAATAACATGGGACTCATGGAGGGGAAAGTAGATGGAAATGAAGCTGAAACAAGACTGGCCAGGAGTTGATTACTGAAGATAGGTATTGGGTACACGGGATTCATTGTATTATTCTGTCTTCTTTTGACGGTTTTGAATTCCGCATAATTGAAGAAAAGATTTTAATGTTTATTCAATGGAAGCATGTAATTTTGCATATATATACAAATATTAGTTTTGAATGCTAGTGCTTCGTAGGGATCCTATTCCACAGGATATTTGCTTTTTCTAAAAGGAACGGTACATGATCAATATTCATGATGCTTCCTGAACTTGGTCATAAGAGGCCATGGGTAGAGAGGGCCCTCCAGTAACCATGGCCACCTTCCTCCTCGCTGTACTTAGCTTCCAAGTCTACAACCTCAAAAGGTTGCTGACTCCAACTCTACCTTTTGTCAAATTCATAACATTCAAAGCAATGATGACTGCATTTATGCACGCTGCAACAATCTTCAGCCCAAAATGCTTCAAAGATTAAATAATCATACCCATTTAAAATACATAGAAAAATAATTAGTATTTATACAAAGTAGATTTTTTACAAAACAAGTACACTACCTCTTAAAATACATCTTATATCCAAGCACAGAAATGTAGGAATATACATGGAAGTATACGTTTAAGAAAAAGCATTTATTTCTAAATGTTGAGTGGAAAGGCAAAGTAGACGGAGTGCTGGTTGAAGAGAACCTCAATTTGCCAGCATTCCCAAGCTTCTAAAAACAGTTCCTGAAGGGATTAGACCGCTGTTCCTCTCTCCAAATTCTGTTTAATTTCAGCTGTGTACTTCCCATAGAATCTTTCTGCCTTCTTGTTGAATTTGGCATTCCTTTCATTAATGTAGTCGATGTCTGCATCATCATTATAAGGACGTCTCCGGCTATACTTGTCTCGTTTTTCAATTCTGAAGGAAGAAGAAAAAATTTACAAAATTCAAAATTGCCTTTTTTTTAAATCTTAATAAAACATGGCCAAATAGTTAAGAACAGAATCAGTGCACCAAGAATAGCACCCTTGAAGGGTGGGGGAAGTTTTCATCAAGATCAAACTGAAATTGCTAATTGACAGCACAACCCCGGGTATGAACCCTGAAATTCAATAAATACAAACTCGTCCTTAGAATGCTTCTAAAAGAGCAATGATACACTGTTAGCCACTGGACACATGAAGCTCTACTTAGAAGAAAATGACAATACTTATATTAGTAAGAACCACAGCTAATATGAATGGAGTATACGCTATATACTGGTATTAATAGTTTTATGTATTAACTCCTAAAATAGAAATTAATTCTGCCTAATATTCACCCATATCAGTATTAAGAAACACAAATATCACAAAGGTTCATTTACTAGAACATTCGTACTTCTTCAAATCAAATAGTGGAATGCTTATGAAGGTCAAAGCCCTTAAACAATCATTTTCTTTGGACCTTTCCCTGCTTCAATTATGAGAACTCCATTTCAGCAATATTTTGCACCTCCCTCCCGTATCATATGGATTCAACTCACACATACTGTCTGTCCCCAAAACGACTACAGACGCTGAGTCAGAAATGAACAAAAACAGTATCTGCTCTTTCAATTCGCTCTAAGCACGCTATGTCCATTTTGTCGTTAAACGTTCAAAAGTTCAGGCTGCTGTACTGAGTACTCACTGTTTTTCCAGATCCATGACCATCCTATCAACCTCTTCTGTGGAAGGCACATGTGTTCCATGAAGAAGACTGTTGGATGTTGGGAAAAACTCTTCTCCACTGAAAAGACAGCAAAACGGACTTAAAGTAACACTAGACAGTTCCACATTTGCAAATTTCAAACCAAACTACCACTCCTGGTGAGCAATAAAATACATACATTATTTTACACATGACATTATATATATTATAACAGATACAGTGTTGACTGTGGGATCCTACCTTAACTTTTACATACACACACACACATAAAGCAAGCAAGCAAGCTAGAATTGGAAGGGACCTAAGATATCTCCTCCCCCAGCACCTTCATTCTACAGATTTAAGAGCCAAGGGCCAGAGATTAAGGGACATGCTTCTAGGTTCAGGTTCTTTCTCTTCCCACTAACGCAGGGGTCAGTTAACACCACCACCTGCTTTTGCAAACATCTGACTGGGTCCCAGCCACACCCATTTGTTCACGTATCCTCCACGGCTATTTTCACATCACAGCAGTGGAGTGGAGACCAAAGAGCCCACAAAGCCTAAAATATTTGCAGAAAATGTTCACCCATCCTGGCACTAAAGCATCCGGCCTCCTAAAACATCTGAGTAACTATGATAATCTGGTTGTTAAACTCTCAACACCCAGTCTTAGAATGCCCAGCTACAACAATAACCAGGTGGTTAGCTGAACTGCTGTGGAGTGAGCAATAAATAGTATTGTCAAGGCCAGAAAGCATTCTTAGGCAGCTGTTAATGACCATTACCTAAGCTTTAAAGTGTGTTTGTATTTACCTATGTGTGTATGTATGTATACACCACACACACACACAGACACCCCTATGTCCCTTTGCGATGAAACAGGACGTGCACTAATTCTGTCAACTTACTGTTTTTCTCTCAGTCTCTCATAAGTTTCCATGTCGGGTTTGATCTGCTTGGTCAGCCGATGATACTGGCGTAACTGAGCAGCAGCATAATCTAAAGATAAAAGGAGAATCGGAGAAGATATATTTCCCTGTTTTGTCATTATGATCCAGAATATCAGAATCATTAGTACTATTTGCACAAGACACTCAACATAGCTTCTACCCTGAAGATGCTGACGATACAGGCTTTTGTTACTTTTACCACAAAGAATAAAAGAATCCAGCTGGCTGAAGTACAGCTTTTTTCACTTCTGCCCATAAGATATTTTTTGTATTTTTCTTGGGTTTAAGCCTCTTGGGAGATTATTCCACGAAGGGACATATCATTTCGGGGGGCGGGGGGGGAGCGCCTATCCTTTCTTAAACCAGAAACACTGAAGGTAATGCTAATCTAATGGGGCCATTCAGTCAAGGAAAGGCAAGCTTTACCTGAGAATCCCAGGTCAGGGTTTTTCCTCCTCTTCTTCCTCTCCCATCTTTCTGCGTCTTCTGCACTGATCTCCAGCAACTTCACTTTCTCATAGTCCTCCCCTCTCGCTGCACATTCCTAAGAAGAGGGAAAAGAAGCTAATACCTGCAATGATGATCCAAGCAAGTATTGGATCTATTTTAAATCAAGGTTGAACAAAGGTATCAGGCAATACTTTAAAACTAATGATTATTATTTGGAGGAAATATGGGAACCTGCTATGGTGTGTAAGAGTGCGTGCCTCAATTTAAAACACATACTCAGCGGGTAGCAGGTGCCAGGCCCCTTGGAAATGTTTCACATGCACTGACTCGTTTAATTCCTCAGTAACTCGAATCATTGTTATTATAGTCCCCGTTTTACAGATGAGAAAACAGAGGCACAGAGAGGTGAAATAACTCCTCCAAAGTGTTGCTGCTAGTCCAGAGCAAGGCCACCACATGGACTCCAGCAGCCTGACCCCAGACCCAGTGTACAAAACCAGGTACTACAGTCACTGTACAGAAGAATGACTGAATAAACCACTTATGAAGCCAGCAGAGTAGATCCTAACCTTTTTCTTTTCTTCTTCCTGCAGTTCCCATTCCAGACGAGCTTTTCTGGCTTCCCAGTTAGCAGGTAACTTAAGTCTTTTATCTTCTTCAACAACTTCCTGGTGATTTAATTTACGAGCTTCATTCTAAAACCGTTAACACAAAATTTGTCAGCTGGGACATGAAAACAAATCCAAACAAAATCTTGCCCACTTTGAAAACGGTCAGGTAAGATACATTAACAAGGGGACTCTGTTTTATCCTAAAAGCAACAGATAGCCATCAAAGGATTTTAAGCAAGGGAATGGCCTAATTAGGGTTTTTTTGTTTTGTTTTGTTTTTTAAAGATTTGAGAGAGAGAGAGAGAGAGCACGAGCAAGCACACGCACGAGCAAGAGGGGGAGAGGGAGAGAGAATCTCAAGCAGATTCTGCACTGAGCACAGAGCCCGATGAGGGGCTTGATCTCAGTACCCTGAGATCATGACCTGAGCTGAAACCAAAAATTGGATGCTTAACCGACTGAGCCACTCAGGCACCCCTCAATTCTCTTTTAATCCTAATTCAAGCAAAAAGCTTCAATTTGGGGCTGGAGGCTTTAACACTCATCTTGGTATCTCTAACCCTTTCCAAGTCTCTCCTCCTCCTTAAATATTTTAACATTTTACTTTATGGCAAAGGAAAGGTATTTTCCATTTGAATTACTCCATGAAGTGTGATTTAAAATGAATTTAAGTGGGGTGCCTGGGTGGCTCAGTCGGTTAAGCGTCTGCCTTCGGCTCAGGTCATGATCTCAGGGTCCTGAGATGGAGCCCTGTCGGCGGGGAGTCTGCTTCTCCCTCTCCCCGACCCTCCCCCCTTTCCTTCCCACCCCCAGCTTGTGCTGTCTCAAATAAATCAAATCTTATAAAGTGAACTTAACGGCACACAACAAAATGAGTATATCATCTTAAGGACAACCTAAGTTAGAGGTTCCTTAGGTCACAGGTTGACGGCAGTTAGTCCAGGAAGCCATGTCTCCTAATTTCCAACCACACGTACTTTACACAGTCCCTCCAAGTCAATATTTAAGTGTGTGTAATTCTTCATTAACTTTTTCTGGGCAAACAGAGATACTCCTCTCAACTACCATCCCTCTTACACTCTTGTACTCTTGGCTCTGGCAATGCCCTCCAGTTGAAAACACCAAGAACATACCTATAGTCAAAGTTGTGTTTGCAGCACTGAAGGAGAGCAAACCATGGGGAACTATAGGCATTTCGGTGAGAAGGTGTTAGGAGAGGCCAGTTACAGGATTTGGGTTTTTATCAGGTGCCTGGGGTGGGGGGATAAGGTTCAAGGGAGTATGGCGGTGCTCTGGATAACACAGTGTCAGAAAGGCAGGGCATTCGATGACTGGGTACCCTGTTTTTCTACAGGATTAACGGGGTGAGACTAATGCTGTAATTGATCCTAACAGTCACTGGAGTTAGCAGAAGAGGGGAATGTGTGGTCATTTCTGTGGTTTGAACAGTACTGTTTTTGTCTCACTCCAACAGTCAGAGTGATGTTGGGGGTTTGTGAAACCACAGCCAAGCTGTCAGTCAAGCCACTTAAGTGGAAATAGACCAGAGCTGCTTTTTCCTTTCTCAGCTCCAACTGCAGCCAGTTGTTTGCTGGACTCTTATCCCTAATACGAGTTCCCTTAATTTGCATTTGGTTCCTCTGCTTGGATATTTCTTCCTCCAATTTTTTTGTCTGATAATACCTTACACATCTTTCAAACGGTAGTTTAGGTGTCACCTCTTATATGAGGCACTCTCTGGAGCCCCTCAAACTGTATTCATCTCTCCTCTACACTCCCAGGGCACTTTGTTCTCAAAGCTAGCATGCCATATTTCTGGCTAGAAAATCATCTCTTCTACTTAAGAGCAAAAGCCATATCATAATCAGCTAGTTTCCCACCAACTAGGTGAACCACTGACACTACAGACTTTCAGAGATTTGCTGATTATTTTTTAATGAACAGGCAACCAGCTCTCTTATTAACACGGACGAGTTTCTTCCAGCCTCCAGCTCCACATATCCCCTAGGTAAAACGAAGAGTTTGTCAGACTCATTCAGCAGGGAGGCTGTTAGTAATAGAGACTCCCAAACCTGGCCCAGATTAGTTAAATCAGAAGTGGGTGACAGGAGGGTTAGAGAGAGCATGTGTTATTTTCAAAGGTGCTTTCAATCTGCTGCCAGGGTTGAGAACCACCGGGAAAGATCTTTCATCCAGTTCTGCGGGTCTGTCAAGCATGGTTTTGCGGCTTGCTCGTCCCTCCACCAACGCGCACGGGCCGCCCGGGTGACAGGTCTCGGCTCCTCGGGGGCTACTCACCCGCTTCAGGTGCAGCTCCCGGAATTTGCGCAGCCTCTGTTCACGCTTCTGGGCGGCCAGTTCCGCGGCCTCCGCCAGGGGCTGCCCCCCCTCCTCCGCGCTGTCCACCGGCACCTGCGGCGAGGAGGACCGACTGGAGGCGGGACGGCCCGGGCTGATTCCCCGCCGGTCCCGCCAGGCCGGGCCGAGCCCTCACACCGACCCCGACTTCATGGCGTCTGCGCCTCCCCGGCCCGGCACCCAGGCATCTCCTCCACCTCTCGCCTTTTGTGTCCCCCCGGAGCCTCCCCCCACAAAAATCCCTGGGTAGAGCCGGCGGAACTTACCTTCTCGGCTAAAATCGCAGCCGCCATCACAATCTCTCTTTCGCTACTTCCGGCAACAACACAGAGCACTTCCGTCTGCCTATGGCCCACCCAGCCGCTACGTATTAAGAAACCTACTATAAGCCCCGCCCCTTCCTGGAGGTCTCAGGAGCTTGGGACCAATCCCTGCCACTTTTAACACTGAGACGTTTTGGATTGGGTAGGGCCTTGCGCAGCCGCAAGAGGCCTCAGAGGCAAGGGCGGGGAAGCGCTCGGAAGGCGACAGCTAGGAGGGACCGGCGGGACCTGGAGCCGGATAGGAAGTCATCCCGAGTGCATGCCACTCCCTGGAGCGAAGAGTGTTTGCCATTCAGCGCTTAGTCTCAGTGTCACCTCCCGCGAGGCAGGTCTCCCCTGCCTGCCTCGTCTCACCTAGGCCCTCAGTACTGTCAAGTGGCACCATTTTAATTCTCTTCGGTAGTGTGAGATACTTTTCTCGCCTGGTCGGTTTCCTCCCGCCCCCACTGCAGGACTGTATAAAATTTCTAGACAGGAGAGGCTCCATTTTGAGAGAAGCGCCATTTTCCTTTTTAAAACAAATAGCTAATGAACTCTGGAACGGGGCAAAAAGACCTTTGAACTGGGCCAGAAACAGCAATTTTTTACCAACAGTTGTACCTAGAGTCAAAGGGGGACTGGCGTCTGGCTGAAGATAGAGGAATTAATGCGTATCAGGAATAGTTTCGTTCGTTAGCACCAGTAAATCAGTCCATCAAAGTGTAACCAAAAGCTGTTCAGCCTGGTAGTACCAGTTGACAATTTCGTTTTCTTTTACTGAAGTCATGTAATTGCCCCCCTTCCCCTTTCTCGAAAGCCCCTTGCTTTCCCCACACAGGTGACACATTTTTCTGGTTGCTGCTGGAATCTGTGCTGCCCGAATTGCAATTCTGAGACCCCAAATAAAGGCCTTTGTTCTTTTTCTTTTTTTCTTTTTTTTTTTTTAAATCAAAGCAGTTTTATTTGTTTTGTTTTGTTTTTTTTAAGATTTTATTTATTTATTTGAGACAGAGAGAATGAGAGAGAGAGAGCACATGAAAGGGGGGAGGGTCAGAGGGAGAAGCAGGCTCCCTGCCGAGCAGGGAGCCCGATGCGGGACTCGATGCGGGACTCGATCCCGGGACTCCAGGATCATGACCTGAGCTGAAGGCAGTCGCTTAACCAACTGAGCCACCCAGGCGCCCCCTTTGTTCTTTTTCAGTTTTGCCTTCTTTTCTCAGTTGACATTAATGGTGTCAGAAGCAACACACCACTCTGACTCCTGAGCCACCGCTGGATTTGAGCAAGGTACCTTCCTGAGCCTATCGCGCTCTGTCCTCTCCCCAGCCAACTCCAGGTCCTGGTGGTAAATCCTCTTGGTTCCCAACCTCCCCTTTTTTGGTTAAGGTTCAGGCCTGATTTCTTTGGGTGTCCTTCTGGTGCGGGCTTCTATCTGTGTGACTTACAGAGAGAGATGCTTTTCTCTCTGGTGACTGATTACTCAATGGGGTGTTTGGTTTCAAAAATTGCTGCTGGAAAGCAGCCCCTGTGTGGAAGCCAAGCTGCATTTATGTTCAAATATTATGGGTCCATTCCTTGTAAGTTTCTGTCTTGTCGGACCAATCTGACTGAAAATGACTTGTCCTTACTGTGGCCACTTTGGGGATCTTCTGAGATTCCAAAATTAGTTTATTTGCATGCACAATTGGAAAATGAAAAGGAAACCAAGCAACCAGGGGTGAGAAGTATATTTAAATTGGTATTTGGAGCCTCCAAGAAATTAATTAATTCTAAACCTGCTTCCTTATAAGAAAATAACTCTAGGGCGCCTGGGTGGCTCAGTTGGTTAAGCGACTGCCTTCGGCTCAGGTCGTGATCCTGGAGTCCCGGGATCGAGTCCCACATCGGGCTCCCTGCTCGGCGGGGAGTCTGCTTCTCCCTCTGACCCTCCTCCCTCTCATGCTCTCTGTCTCTCATCCTCTCTCTCTCAAATAAATAAATAAAATCTTAAAAAAAAAAAAAAAGAAAATAACTCTAAACTTTCTCAAGCTAACTGTAACTGAGAGAGTATTTAAACTACAAAAGTTTACAGTCTTCTGAGCGAACTGGTGTGACTACTTATCCTCTTCCATCTTCTCCCTCTGCTCTCCACCAGTAAAACCCCAGTCTAAACGAACTTCCATTCTATAATGACAACCCGGAGGTTCCCCTAGCTCCTCCAGTCATCCAGACTCCTTCTAAAGTTAAACCTAATGAGAGAGGCTCTGGGACTTTATCAGTTACTTACACCCCTTGGACGAAGGCAGAATTACAAGCCATTATCAAGGACTTTCCCAATGCCCTTGAAGACCCTCCAGGATTTGCTAAGGAATTCAATTTAGTTATTCAGATCTGCAAACCTGGTTATTCTGACCTTTATTGACTTATCCATATGCTTGTGAATGAGAGTCATGCAAGGGACTGGATGGGGAAAGTAGGCTGGACATAGCATTTTGATGATTTTTCTAAGCAAAAATGCTACAGGGGAAAAAAAAATGCTTTTAAGCTAGCTGAAGAATTACATAAAACTATTCTGGCAGCTTTTCCAAAGACCACAGATGAGAGAAAAATTCAACAATGTACTCCAAGGCTAGATGAACCTGGTTTTGATTATTATGATAGATTGGAAAAAGCTTTTAAACAATACCCTGGTATTGACAAAATTAAACATGAAATGTCCTTTTTCTTTAACTCCACCTTTGCTAATGGGTTAGAAGGTGAACTTGGTCCCTTAGTTAAATGACAGCGACTCAGCTGGGCCACCATGGAGCCTCACGATCTGGTTAATTTGGCTGATCAGTTATCTCACACCACAGAATGAGCAACGAAAAAGAAAGGACTCACAAGTCCAAGCTGCCCAGATCATGCATCTCCAATTACAATTACAACAATTAACAACCCCCAGAAATCCCCAAAATCTTCAGGGTCTTTTTCCTGTCAAAGGTGTTTGCAATTACTGCAGAAGAATCTGGCCATTGGAAGAAGGCTTGCTGCAAACTGACAAGACAAAATCAGCTGCAAGAGCCTCAGAACCCTTTCCCCTCTAAGGACACCAGCAGCTGGGGAAGAATGCTCATATGACAGAACAGGGCAGCTCTGAGGTCGGGAGGGGGGTCTTCCCATGACCTCAAACTGACACCTTAGGGGAAATAAATCTTATTGGGAATGAGGTGACAGGAGCTCTTACAGACACGGGAGCAACACTGTCAATTTTCAACCCCACCAGGCTCTCTGTCTCCCTTCCACGGAGTACAGAAACGTTGCAAAAGGTGGGAGTGACTAATATCTCATGACAGTTTTTAAATTCTTACCTATCCTTTTTTCAGCTGGGGCCTTTACAAGGCACTCATCCATTCCTTCTGATCCCTACAATTCCTACCTGTTAGGCTGCGATTTTCTTGAGATTTATCAGGCATACTTTTCCTTCTCTCAAAAGGGGTAAATGTTTTTTTAAAATGCTAAATAAATAAATAAATAACTCCAGTCATTGCAGCAACGAGCCACATTTTGGGTGTAGAGATAACTTTAAAAAGGCGGGAGGAATGTTTCCGCAAATAGCATAACAGCACACAGAAAAGTCTATAGAAAAGGAGCCTGCATTCTTTCAAATAAAAATTGGCTGTGTCCACAGGTATACTGAAGAGGGCACTACATAAATCCACTCCCATGTAGATTTGCTGTCTGGAGGAATAGTAGAAAGTAAGGTGTGAGGATTAGGCACGCGTGGATGTTGTGGAACGGCAACATTATCGGTTGCTGTAAGGGCCTGTACAAACCTCCATCCTCTGCCACAAGATTTTCAGATGGGAAAAATTGGCATTTTATAAATATATACACACACATACACACCTCAATTACAGGTTTAATCCCTTCAATGGCTTCAGAATTTAGAGGATATTGTTTAATATTAGGGAGTGGTTTAATATCAACCTGACCGTTTAGATAGGAGGGGCAGAGTTTATACGTCTGATGTCAGTAGGACTTTTGGACCAGAGTGTCAGGGACAGTGTCCAGGAGGGGGTGCTGTAGGTTTTGAATTACAGGAAAGAATGCAGCAGACGCTGCTGTTTTGTCAGAAGACACAGAAGAACCAATCATGAATTCCCCTGGATCATTTAAATTTCACGTTTGGTGAAAGCTCTCATCTGCTAGCAAATGTACTTCTTCTGACATTCTCCTGCTGTCACCTTCAAACATCTCTGTGACCAGATATCACTCTTTAAACCCAGCTACTTTTTTTTTAAGGTTTTATTTTTAAGTAATCTCTACACCCAATGTGGGGCTCAGACTCATAAGAGATCTTGATCTTGGGGTTGTGAGTCCGAGCCCCACGCTCCACTGACCGAGCCAGCCGGGCACCCCTAAAGCCTGCAACTTTTTTGCCTCTTGCCTCTGATGAGATTCCTCGTGACTATATTACTACAACTGGTCCACTGTGGACTCGTGGACTAGATCTTCAAGAAAGCCCTACCAGAAATGCTGAATAATTTGGTTCACTGACAGTTCTTATTTAAGGGTTAAAACAGGAAAATATCAGCAGGATACTCTGTAACCAGCTACAGAGAGAACTGAGGCTCATCCTCTACCCGAGGCCTCTGCAGCTCAACATGTTGAACTGTTCTCATTTCTTTTGTATAGTTGACACACAATGTTAGATTAGTTTCAGGTGCGCAACATAGTGATTCAACAAGTTTATAAGTTTTGCTGTGCTCCCCAGAAATGTATCTACCATCAGTCACCACGCAACCCTATTACAGGACCAATGACTACATTTATTCCCTATGCTGTACCTTCCATCGCCGTGATTTATTCATTCTATAACTGGAAACCTCAACAGGCTGGACTTTTGACCTGAACTAGAGCTTGCATTCCGGCAAGAGACAAATGTCTGATATGACATAATGATAGCAGGTATGCGTTTGTGGTGCGCATGGTTTTGGTATGCTTTCGAAACAACAACGATTTTTAACCTCCTCTGGCCAAAAGATTAAAAATAGCTTTTATGCGTTAGAACTATCAGACTCTATTCTATTACCAAAGTCATTAGCTAAAATTAAAAGTCCTGGCCACTCTGCAACAAACACGGAGAAAAGCAAAGGCAACCATATATCACACCCTGCCGCAAAAGCTGTGGCTTTGCCAAGCTGTTCTACCCTAAAATTAACGTTCACTTCAACCGCTATTGGTGATTTAAAAGAAATAACTAAGGATGCTCAACAGAACGCCACCTTTAAGGAAAAGAAAAGACGATCAAATCAAATTGCAAATTTGACTCGACTATCCATCTTTGGTCTGGGTCAGATGCGTGGCCTGTCCTTCCTGATTGTGCACAGAAAACTACTCCAAAATTAGTTCATGAAATGACCCACGGGAGCACAGAAAAAATGATAAATTGGGGAAAACAATACTTTTTGGAACCCTTCCCACAAAGCTGCATCTGAAATCTATCAGCATTGTCCAATCTGTCCAAAACATAAATCTGAGAAACCTATTCACAATTCCATGGGGCACTTCCCACTGCCTTCAGGACCCTTTGAGGTATGCCAGTTGGATTTTATCCAGCTGCCACCCTCTCAGGGATGTAAATATGGGTTGGTAATGATTTGTATGTATGCCCATTGGGTAGAAGGCTTCCCCTGTCACAGAGCCACTGCATCAGCAATAGCCAAGTTATAATTAGGAAATATCAACTCCCAATGGGAGAATCCCATCTGAATTGCACAGCAATCAACGGACCCATTAGTGGGCAAATAATTAAGACAATTTTGATATTTGGCCTATGTTACATTTTCATTAGTAATCAGGATTGGCAGAAAGGACAGATGGTATAGTTAAAACCCAACTAGCTAAATTTAGAGAAGGCTTTAACTCACCCTGGCTTAAGTTACTGCCAATTATATTGTTAAATTTAAGGTGCACACCTTTCAAAAGACATAAATTATTGTCCTTTGAGATCGTACCTGGGAGACCTATGAGATTAAGTTCAGGAGTTCATGAACCTTTATTAATTAAAGGATAAATGCTTGAATATTACAAGGGGTGATAGAGGCCTTAAAGAAAATGCATGCTTGGTAGAAAAGTTCTCCCACAGAGTGCTCCCGGGAGACAGACATCCTACAGCACCACCTTCAACCTGGAGATTCTGTCTATTGGAAAAGACATCTCCATAAGGATCCTTTATAGCCTCAATGGAAAAGACCCTACCAGGTTACCTTGGACAAATCCTTGTGCAGTTAAACTCAAAGGCATTGATTCTTGGGTTCATGGTTCCCATTTAAAGAAAGCTCTAATACCTGGTGGGCAATCCATCGCTATCAGAAAATTAAAACTTATGACATCCCAAAAGCAGGTGACATCTGAGTAGACAGCTATCCCAAGACTCTGGACCAGGCCTGTATATTAAAATTTCAAAAAAAAATTTTTTTCATCATACTTTATACTCTCCTATTCCTCTTATCCTATGATTGTTATACCAGCTCTACTATCCAAAGTTTTATTCACACATGTAACCCTGATCCTTGCATTTCTGATTGTAGAAATACTTGTCTATATTGGGGAGTTCTATGAATACTTAGGTGCCTAAATACTTAATATTTAAGGAAACTTGGCTATATGAGCATTTTATAGGATGATTAAGCCAGTTGAAATATTTGCGATATTACTCCTTCTGATTGGAATTCTCATGACTTTTGATCTTTGACACAAGGTCAGGCTTCTCTGCTGGTGGTAAAATACCCTCTTTAATAAACTCCAGTTCTTTAGAACTGGTTTAGGTTAACACAGATACAAATGTGAGTTTGCCTCACATTTGGCCCCAAAGCCCTGGAGCTCTTATATTAATTTCCCCAATAGAGATGGGCAATAAATCCACAGAAAATTCACAGCCCAAGTACAATCATATAATTTTTAGAAATCATTTGGTTGGGTTTCTGTCTATCCTATGGTGTCCAGTCATGGATGCACAACTGATGGAAATGTCTTTCTGCAGTAGGCACACTCATTTGCCCAAAATAAAAATCAATCCACCTGTTGAATATGTGGACAGCTTCCTCTCTCTAGCTTGTTAGAATGACCATGGTGGATACTACCACTTCCTGGGGGGTGATTGGAAGGTCCTAATGCAACACATCAAGGAAGAACATGCTGAGATTGGTATCCTTAGTACATCTGACATCAGTAACCCTGATCCAGAAGCCTGGCCTACAGCACACACTATTAATGACACAGGACGTAAGTATTCTTCTTCTGTTAACCAAACTATGCAGGCAGCCCACCAACTTGTTAACCAAAAGAATCCTAAAAATATGACTGTCAAAACCATGGGTGGCTATACCCACATTCGGGATGGATTTATGTGGTTCACCCCAGGATATGATCATTTGAACACCCAGGCACCCCTGTGTTGGGAACAACAACAACAAAATTACTCTAAACAGAACCAACCCAATTACATCCAAGATGTGGGATGGATATCTGGAACTTTGTGAGCATTCTGTTATACTGAAGGAAAGTGACTGGTTTGGCACCGATAGGTCACACTGTCCAGGTGTTTACTGAGCAGCCCTGAATGGAGCTCAGTGGTTATGTGGCATGGATCTTAGGCCATGATTTCCACCTGGATGGTTAGATCATTGCACCCTGGCTTTCCCTGGGCATGAGGGAGAATTCATCCCACTGTCTTTGTTCTCTGTGTTGGCCAAGATGTTATGATGTATACAGAGGCTTTACCAAATTTACCCAACAAGCTTTAAATGACAGCCAACAAAGAGTATTGTGTGTTCTCACCCAATGAATCTGCTATCATGTCATCTTTACTAAATCGTATGAGAAAACAAATAGATGCCTTAAGCAATCCTTGTACGTAAGTCATTTTATATCTGTGCAATTGCACCTGTAGCATAAATCCCCAGAAGTGTAATAGCTGTTCATATCCTGGGGTAAACCACATAAATCCATCCCGAATGTGGGTATAGCCACCCATGGTTTTGACAGTCATATTTACTGTCTTTTTCATAGATGATGAACCAAAGAATAGACTAGTTAGTAAATAAATAAGAGCGATTATACAGTTCATTATTGAACGAGTGGACAGGTATATGAAGAATGCTGTTCTGTGCAGAATTTTCAGAAGAAAGTCAAAGCCTCAAATTAATCCAAGAAATCTTTCTGCATCACGAAAATGCTCCAGATACCAAATAATCCCCAACCAATCTGTTCACTCATTCAACAGTATGAAATTAGTTCATACCCTGCACCAGATACCGTTGGGGCCACAAGGAATCAGCTGTTCCCTTGGAGCTCACGTTGTACTGAGCGGGGCGACAATAAACTGCTAGGCAGGGATTAAAACAGGGTGACGTGATGGTAACCGTGAATCTGCTTTGTATTTGGTATTCAGAAATCTAAACTATAAGGTCCGTCAGTTAATGGGCACAACTTGTGCTTTGGGTCGCTTTCTCACAAATTGGTGGTTTACTCTCCTTTCCCCTCTTCCTCCTCTTTGCCGTCCGGACGGCGCTGACGCCGGGTCTCTCCTCCGGTTTTACCCGCACCGCCCAGGTGTCGCTACTCCACGCCCCTGCGCACAGGCCTGGCCCAATCGGATGCCGCCCAGGGCTGCGACGGGCGGTGATTGGTTCCTCATCTCCCGGGAGACGCAGAAAGGGGCGGGGTTTTCCCCCGAAACCTGTGGCTGCAGGCTGCCGGAAGTGAGCGAGAGAGTCGGAAAAGTTATTTGTTGTCGCCGGAAGTGTGAGGGGTAAAGCGCAGCTGGTTGATGGCCGCTGAGGCTGAGGTTGAGAGGGTGGGTGGTAGGCTTTGCGCAGGGGTTGGGGATAAGGGCGTCTGCGGCTAGAGGTTTGGCCTAGACGTAGAGGCGATGCCAGGGAGGGAGGCGCCCACACCGTGGGTCGGGACGGCGGTGAGGGCTCGGCCCGGCCCGGCGGGACCGGCGGGGAACCGGCCCCGGCCGTCCCGCCTCCAGTCGGTCCTCCTCGCCGCAGGTGCGGGTGGACAGCGCGGAGGAGGGGGAGCTGCCCCTGGCGGCAGCCGCGGAGCTGGCCGCCCAGAAGCGCGAACAGAGGCTGCGCAAATTCCGGGAGCTGCACCTGAAGCGGGTGAGTAGCCCGCGAGGAGCCGAGACCTGTCACCCGGGCGGCCCGTGCGCGTTGGTGGAGGGACGAGCAAGCCGCCCCAGCGCGCCTGACCCGCGGTGCTGAAGCAAGATCTTTCCCGGTGGTTTCGACCCTGGTAGCACACTGGAATCACTCTAGAACTTTTTAAAAATGCTCATGCTTAGGTCTCACTTCTAGAATGTCTCACTTAATCCGTTTCTGGACCCAGACACTGGTTTTGTCTGTTGTCGCACAGCAAGTTGGCCACTCACTCATTCATCCTAACACCCTCCTCCCCACTCACCCCCGAGCTCCTGGTGTGCCATAACCAACTAGATAGGGTGAATACAGTGGTAAGTGTGGTAAGACTCCTGTCTGGTTATGGAGGCAGGTCCATAACCAAAAATTACTCCACGACTTGGTAATGGTATATTAGAGGGAGGAACAAAGTGCCTCCGAAATTCAGAGAAGAAAAAGACAACTAAAGACTAATGGGACAGCTAAGCTGCTTGAAAGATGAGTAGGATATTATCAGATAAGTAAAGGAGTTGGGGGAAGAGGTGTCCAAGCAGTAAGAACAAGTGCAAAGGCAGAGGATCCTCATTAGGGTGGGAGGCCTGTAGGCAGCGGGGGGACAGGGTATGTGTGAGGAGTGTCGTTATCTGTATTTGCCCAGAAAAACTCAATTTAAAAGCTAGTCAGGCACACATACTTAATTTGAAATACTGTGTAAAGAGTAGGCTGGACGTTATGTGAAGAAGTAATAATATAATTCAAACATCATGCTTTTGTAATCTTTAATAGATCGCTGGATCTAGGTAATCAGTAACTGCAAACATCACAAAAAGGGAGAAGATCAGAGATTGTGTGTCTCCTGATAGAAGTATATAACACTAGTTCATATAAATAGACTTGTTAAATATTACCTGAACTGAATGGAACCACTAGATCTAATGACCAATTTACAAGAAATACAGGGGTCAACGGAGCCTGTTAAAGGACATCATAGGGAGGCAGCTAGCACTTTGGGAAATAGGACAGTCAGCCTAATCATTTTCACAGTCCTCAAAAGAGCAGGGGTAAAAAAGATGGAGAAGGAAACTGTAGATTAAATAAAACTTAAGAGATGTATTGACTAATCACAATATATGGAACTTGTCTGAATTCAAACTGTAAAAAATAATGAGCACTTGAGACCATCAGGAAAATGTGAACATTACAGGATAAGAATTATTTTGGGAATGTGATGGTGGTATTGTTAAAAAGGTATCAAAGGGGCGCCTGGCTGGCTCAGTCAGTGGAGTATGCAACTCTTGATCTTGGGGTTGCGATCAAGCCCCACATTGGGTATAGAGATTACTTAAAGGAGATATTAAAATATTCATAGATAGGGGGAAAAAACCGCCAGAAATCAGGAAATTTGGTCTTGGTCTAACTCTGCCACTAACTCTGTGATCTAAAAACTTTCTCAACTTCATAAATATTAGATTGGAGTCTCTCTCCCATCACCTTCACAGTTTATACATGTGACCACCTGTCCACTTGCTCAGTGTTTATCTTTAAATTGCTGTTTAAATGTAATATTACTATTTAAGATAGGAATTTTACATTTTTATGTCTTTATATGTTCTCTTTTCTTTTTTTTTTTTAAAGATTTTATTTATTTATTTATTTGACAGAGAGAGAGACACAGTGAGAGAGGGAACACAAGCAAGGGGAGTGGGAGAGGGAGAAGCAGGCTTCCCGCTGAGCAGGGAGCCTGATGTGGGGCTTGATCCCAGGACCCTGGGATCATGACCTGAGCCGAAGGCAGACACTTAACGACTGAGCCCCCCAAGCGCCCCTATAGGTTCTCTTTTCATCTTTTCTGTTTCTGGGGGTTTTTTGAGTTTTTTGTGTTTTATTTGTTTTGGGTTGGGGAGGTCATTTTGTTTGATTTGGTTGGAAAAAAAGATTGTTTTTTTTCTGTAGCTTCCCATAGTCGGAAGGATTTTGTGGGTTGCATTCTGATGGTGTCTCCTACCCTATTTTTTTTTTTTTTTTAAGATTTTATTTATTTGACAGAGAGACACACCGCGAGAGAGGGAACACAAGCAGGGGGAGTGGGAGAGGGAGAAGCAGGCTTCCCGCAGAGCAGGGAGCCTGATGTGGGGCTTGATCCCAGGACCCTGGGATCATGACCTGAGCTGAAGGCAGACGCTTAACAACTGAGCCACCCAGATGCCCCTACCCTATTTGTTTTTAAAAGGTGTTAGGAAAGGTGTTTTCAGAAGTGTTAAACCCATTAGTTGCTGAGAATTTGTCTTGGACCCAATTTGAATTAAGAGACATGAAAATGGAATCACCTTCTCAGTGTGTGACTCAGTGTCATTCAGTAGCATCTAAAATCCTCTCAAGTCTCTCCAGTCAGTGGAACTCATGCTGTGGGAAGCCCTGTTTCAATCCAGTCCTAAAAGACTTGCTTACATCACACAGCCAGAGAGTAGTCAAGTCCATATATCCTTCAGGCTTCTTACTTCCAAACCATAGCTCTTTCCATCCCTACCACCTGCTTCCTTGAAAGTAGTAAAAGAATATTTAAAGTTATAGGAATAGGTGTTGACTTCCTCATCTCCCCCTCCATAAAATTCCCCCAACACGAATACACACGTAAAATTCTCTAGTGACTCTCCGCCGTTCAGGATAAAATCCAAAGGTCTGCTTTGGATGCCTGCCGTACAAGAAGACAGGTAATGTCTATTTAGATTTGTTTCCATACCTGTGCCGACAAACTTTGTGTGTTCTGGTGGTAGAATGAAGCTTGAATGTTAAATCACCAGGAAGTTGTGGAGGAAGATAAAAGACTTAAATTACCTGCAAACTGGGAGGCTAAAAAGCTCGTCTGGAATGGGAGCTGCAGGAAGAAGAAGAGAAAAAAGTATGTACAATTCCACCATCCTCACAAGCTGTGGATTCCAGGATTCTCTTGTGTTTTGCCGAGGCGGCATATGGCATGGAAGGTGAGCACTCTGGCTCTGAGAGAGTTGGGAGACTAAAATGTGTAGAACACGTAACAGCAGTGCCTGGCACGTAGAGTGGCATAAGCAGTGGCTATTAGAGTAAGAGCCTAAGCTACGGTAACAAAAGCTCCAACAATAACAAACTGTAGGGGCGCCTGGGTGGCTCAGTCAGTTAAGCGTTTGCCTTCAGCTCAGGTCATGATCCCGGGGTCCTGGGATCGAGCCCCACGTCCAGCTCTGCTCAGAGGGAGCCTGCTTTTCCCTCTCCCTGCCGGTCTCCCTGCTTGTGCTCTCTCTCTCTGTGTCAAATAAATAAATAAAATCTTAAAAAAAACCCAAAAACTATAAAGCTCATGAGTCTCTCATGTATCAGCTCCCTGTTGAGCAGCCCAAGTTATCTGGCCTGATCCAACTGCAGGGGAGGTTGGGAAATGGGCAGCCATGAGCTAGGAAAGGAGGGGAGAAAGGATTTTAATGGACACCTAATGTGTCCACCATGGCTGTTTTTGGTGTCAGTGTTATAGAGGTTTTTGGTTTTTTTTTTTAAATAAGAAATGCAGCTCTGATGGGTTGTTGTTTTTTTTTTTAAGATTTTATTTATTTATTTGAGAGAGGGAGAGGGAAAAGCAGGCTTCCCGCTGAGCAGGGAGCCTGATGTGGTGCTTGATACCAGGACTCTGGGATCATGACCAGACACCCAACCAACGCAGCCACCCAGGCAACCCTAGATGTATTACTTCTTACAGATCATAGCAAATTGCACACAATTTTCTTTTCAAGCTAATCAACTTAAACAGTCTTGATAGCAGTCTTTAGGCCTCTCTTGATTTTAAAGGGATCAAAGAATTATATAAGGGAATAAAACTAATGTTTTTTCCCCTTTTTAGGAATGTGCAGCAAGAGGGGAGGACTATGAGAAAGTGAAGCTGCTGGAGATCAGTGCAGAAGATGCAGAAAGATGGGAGAGGAAGTAGAGGAGGAAAAACCCTGACTTGGGATTCTCAGGTAAAACTGGCTTTTACTTTATTGAATGGGCCTCTTAATAACAGGTCTAATAATGCCCCAACATCTAAAATAGTCTGGATTCTCCTTTTAGATTATGCTGCTGCTCAGTTACGCCAGTATCATCGGCTGACCAAGCAGATCAAACCTGACGTGGAAACTTACGAAAGACTGAGAGAAAAACTGTAAGTGATTTAATGGTATATTCTTAGCATGTTACCTGGAAGGACTTGAATTCAAGAGTGCTGATTCTGGAGCTTTGCTTCCTGGCCTTGGGTTCCGGCTCCACCACTTACTAGACGTGTCACAGTTCTTCTCCCTGTTTCCTCATCTGTATACAGGGAATAATAGTGCTTACCCCATAGGGTTATGGTAAAGATTAAATGAATTCATCCCTACAGTGTACTTAATGTTTGGCACATAGTGCTGTATGCAGTCTCATCATCATGATTACTGTTGCTGTTACTGTGTCCCTTACCTCTGCAGGATATCTACTTTGATCAGGTGCAGTAAGCAGTGCTAAGCTGCACTTGCTCTTTCCCTAAGACAGGTAATGTGCTTAAGATCACAACTTTTGTTTTGTTTTTTTTTTTAAGATTTTATTTATTTGACAGAGAGAGATAGTGAGAGCAGGAACACAAGCAGGGGGAGCGGGAGAGGGAGAAGCAGGCTTCCCGCTGAGCAGGGAGCCCGATGCGGGGCTCGATCCCAGGACCCTGGGACCATGACCTGAGCCGAAGGCAGATGCTTAACGACTGAGCCACCCAGGCACCCCAAGATCACAACTGTTTTAATAGGGATAGTGGAGTAGAGTAGAGAGAGCTCTAAATTGTTCAGAGCACACCATGTTCTCATTCAGGCTCTCTCACTGTATGACTTGGTTGGGTTGAGTCCATTAGCCTCTGGTCCTCAGCTGGTGCCTCACTTGAGCACTAGAGTAGATGATTTCTTAAGTACCTTTTTTCAGGTCTGATTTCTATTTCTTTGAAATCAGATATGATCCCAGAGGTTTCCATTTTTGACCACTAAACATTGTCTAGTTCTGCTGGTATAGAATCTTTATAGTGTTACTTACACCTTGCTTTTTCTCAGTGGAGAGGAGTTTTACCCAACATCCAACAGCCTCCTTCATGGAGGAAATTGATAGGATGGTCATAGACTTGGAAAAGCAGTAAGTACTATCATGCAGCCTTAAGTTTTAGTACTGATTTCATGCCTCATGACAAAATTAACTGTGGTCTTGAAGTGTAGCAAAAGGTAGAAATTAAGGAATGCCTGAATTACTAGTTTGAAGAGTGGTCTCATCACTATTACTTGTATGTTTGTGTTTGAATAGGGTAATTATTAGGCAGAATCAGCAGTATATATATGAATTCTCTCAAAGTAGTGTAATGTCACTGCTCTTGTATTTTCAACATGAGCTTGTGTTCCCAATCTTAAAACTAAACCATCTGACAGTACTATTAACTTATAAAATTCATTAAAGTTCAATGAACATATTTCTTCAAAGAATTTTTTTCTGAAGAGATTTTCAGTCTTAAAACCAAAAAAGAGGGGCGCCTGGGTGGCTCAGTCGTTGAGCATCTGCCTTCGGCTCAGGTCATGATCCCAGGGTCCTGAGATCGAATCCCACATCAGGCTCCCTGCTCAGCGGGAAGCCTGCTTCTCCCTCTCCCACTCCCCCTGCTTGTGTTCCTGCTCTTGCTATCTCTGTCTCTGTCAAATAAATAAAATCTTTAAAACAAAAAAAAAAAAGAAAAAGAAAGCAGCTTAGAATTTTGTATATGTTTCCATTACTGATTCTACTCTTAGTTAACTATTTGGGCATGTGTTATTAAAATCAAAAAAAGAAGGCAATTTTGAATTGTGTCAATTTTTTTTCCTTCCTCCAGAATTGAAAAACGAGACAAGTATAGCTGGAGACATCCTTATAATGATGATGCAGACATCGACTACATTAATGAAAGGAATGCCAAATTCAACAAGAAAACAGAAAGATTCTATGGGAAATATACAGCTAAAATTAAACAGAATTTAGAAAGAGGAACAGCAGTCTAATCTCCTTTAGGAACTGTTTTGACTGCCAAATTGTAACAGTAAACCAGGACTATTACCTTTCCTTTTATAATTTGTAAAGTGTTCTATGACTATGTATTTTCATGCTTATATATTTATTATTCACTCATTTCAGAAAAAAAAAAGTCATATATTTATGTGTTCAGAATGTGTGCTTCATGTGTGTACTCTGCTGCGCTTAAAACTCCTGGCTACAAACGTGAGTCATCATCATCCTTGTATTTGTCCTATGTTTGGACTTGACCTAGAATTGAACTTGGGAGCTTCAGAGATAGAATGCTAAATTGGGACTAATTTTTCTTGTAAGCTATGGTAGGTGGTGAAAGGAAGGGGACAGTGGCTACTGGAAATTCACCCTGGCCAACCCTCTCCAGAAGTAGTCACAATTAACAGGTGCTAGCCTATCCTATGCTCTACCCCAGGGCCCAGGTACATTTATGGGGCAAGCCCAGAAGGTATGAAACTGATCCTCTAATGACATTTTGTAAATACATCACTTTCAAAAGCAAATTTCCCATGGAAGAAAGTAAATAAAACATTTGGTCAAAGTATTATTAAAACTTACATAGTACAATTTTTTTTTAAAAACCTAATTGAAATTTTATTTCAACTGTAACTGAAAAATGAGGGCATGTAGTTTGAGTGGTAGTTATGGGAAATATAGGACAGAAAACCTGAGTAAAGGAGGTTCTTTGTGCCAGTTTATATGAAAAGAATAGGACTGGTATCAGTAAGTTGGGCACACCAGTAGCTCTGATTTAGTGAATGATGGGCTGATTAAGATGGTAATGTAAGTGCTACTAATAATGGTATATTCAATGTATTGTGAATAGGGAAACTTTAATGTTGTACACTCAAATATAGAATGAGATAGATCTATATATACTAACATGAAAAGATGCTCATATCCAAAGAGTTTGTATAAGGCATAAAAAAAAAAAAAAAGTGGCGCCGGGGTGGCTCAGTCGTTAAGCGTCTGCCTTCAGCTCAGGTCATGATCCCAGGGTCCTGGGATCGAGCCCCGCATTGGGCTCCCTGCTCAGTGGGAAGCCTGCTTCTCCCTCTCCCACTCCCCCTGCTTGTGTTCCCTCTCTTGCTGTGTCTCTGTCAAATAAATAAAATCCTTAAAAGAAAAAAGAAAACCCAGCATGTACATCATACTATATATGATTGCCTCTGGGGAATGAAAACAGAGGCAGTAATTTTACTTTGACTTCCTTTTAAAAATAATGCAAGGGAGGGACCCCTGTGTGGCTCAGTTAGTTAAGCGTCTACCTTCAGCTCAGGTCACGATCCCAGGGTCCTGGGATCGAGTCCCGCATCTGGCTCCCTGCTCCTTGGGAGCCTGCTTCTCCCTCTGCCTCTCTGTCTCTCATGAATAAATAAAATCTTTAAAAACAAAACAAAAAACAACCAATGTGTTTAAAAAAAAAATAATTCAAGGGACATCTGCCTTTGGCTCAGGTCATGATCCCAGGCTCCACGTAGGGCTCGTTGCTTAGTGAAGAGCCTGCTCCTCCCTCTGCCTGTGCCCCCTTCTTGTGCTGACAAATAAAAATCTTAAAAAAAAAAAAAATAGTAATTCAAGAAAGGAAGCCTGGGTGGTGCAGTTGGTTAAGTGTTCCACTCTTGGTTTCAGCTCAGGCCATGATCTCAGGGTCCTGGGATTGAGCCCCATTTCAGGCTCCCTGCTCAGCGTGGAGTCTGCTCGAGATTCTCTCCCTCTCTCCCTCTGCCCCTCCTGCTAGTGCTATCTCCAAAAGATCTTTAAAAAAATTCAAGACGAATACACACCTATGCTGCTGTCTCCTCAAAAAAACTGATCACCTGCTTTATGTGGCTCTCCAGTATTTACCAAGAAAACATTTAGTACCAGCATACTAAGGGAAAAGAGGAGGGAAAGATTAGTAAGGATAGGTTTCATAGACATCATAATCTGGATTTAAAGGAAAAACAGGAGCACCTGGGTGGCTCGGTTAAGGGTTGCCTTTGGCTCAGGTTATGATTCCAGAGTCCTGGGATCAAGCCCCACATCGGGCCCCCTGCTCAGGGGGTAGTCTGCTTCTCCCTCTCCCTCTACTAGACCTGCTGGTGTTCTCTCAAATCTATAAAATCTTAAAAAAAAAAAAAAGAAACACGGATTTCTCCAGAGGAGAAAAGCACTCCCCAACAGTCACTGCTGCTTAAACCAGAAGCGCAGATGTCAGTAGGATGTGAGGATTACTCTGAAGGTGACTGGGTGGATGGTCAAATAGGCAATATTGTAGAAGTTCAGCATAGGAAAGGTGCATTTTGAAGAGCGCAGGAGTAAGCACTGGAAAGGAACTCGGGAAATTCTCAGTTAGTAGATGGTAGAAGGCAGCATGGAGGAAATTGCTAAGAGCTTGTAGAGAGAAGCAGGCCAAGGATACAATCCATCAGTGGGCAAAGGACAAAGAGCCAGTGTAGAAAATGGAAGAGGTCAAAGGAAATAAATGCATGTAAATCCCTGCAAGAAAATTTTGACAAAGGACTCTATAGAGAAAGAGTGAAAAGTACTCGTTAAGACGAAGTTTTATTTTACTAGATAAGCGTAAGAGGTTTTCAGCAAAGAAAACGAAAGGGAAGCATGCTATGGTGACTTAAATACAGTTCCTCTAGTTCACGCTTTAAGAAAAAAAGCAAAGGATTTAACACCTGAACCAATCTAGGGATGTGCTTTCCAAAATGGTGGCCATCCACCATATGTGACTTTAAAAGTGGCTAGGACAAACTGAGGTGTGCTTTAAGTGTAAAATACATGATTACAATACCTAGTACAAAAAAAGTAAAATGCCACCAATTCTTAGAATATTGAAATGACATTTTAGATATACTAGGGTAAAAAACTTTCACTGATTCTTTTTACCTTTTTCAATGTGGTTCCCTCATTTTCACTGGACAGCACTGAATCTAATCTCTTGGTATAATTTCTCACCATCGGCACCATCTTGCTATACTGTCCACCACTTACACAGTAACAGGGTATTACACCTGGGCAACTGCATCCCACTTACATAATGAAGGCCAGTCTGGCTTTACACACACAGTACATTATCTTCTGTGTTACAAAGCCCAGGACAAACTAAACACCACAGACCTGGCCAGACCCAACAGACAAGGTGAACTTAGACAAGAACACTGTTAGTACTTGATGGGGCAATTATGAAAAAAAAAAAAAATGAAGAATATAAACCATATTCTTTTCAGGACACTAGATAAGAGAAAATGAGCCAACAGACCAAGAAATTAAAGAGTATGAAATAGCTAAGCCTCAAGCGTGCTAATAGACTGAAGAAGCTAATGGTGAAGAATGCCAAAGGTAAAAATCACTGCAGAAGTATCAGAAGTGGTAATTAGCCCAGACCATTCTTATGTAATGAAGGAGTTTGGTTGAAGAGTTACAGGACTTATCCAGTCACTCAGCTAGCCGTTCAGGGCTAGTATTCAAATACGTGTCATAATCAGAGCAGCAAATGCTGCTACCAGCGAAATGAAGGTAAGAAAGATTATCACATCAATTCTTTTCCAAAGTCCCCCTCACAAGGAAACCCTCTGCAACTTTGCTAAGGATACCAACTAAAGATACTAACAAGGTGTTCATATTAGCCACATTCTGTTACAACTCAAATCCTCATGTTTTATTGGATTTGGCTGTAACCAGGCCAGCCTACCAATGTTCTCAGGTCTCCTTAAAATGAACCTACTGCATAAACTTTTGTACTTCTTTAGAAGCATGTCCCCCTCCTGGTAACTACTGTTAACCTAGATGTAAAATGGACATGTTCACCCAGAGCAGCAACCCTTTCTCACGGAATTTTCCGTTCGTTGTCCATTTAAATTTTTCGTAAGGTCAAATTTTATTAGAGCAGCTCTTCCCCATACAATGTTTTAGGATACAAATATTCCATTATCTGTACTTTCCAGTAACACAGCCACTAGCCTTAACACTTCAGAAGTGGCTAGTATGACTGAGAGGCTGCATGTAATCACATGTGGCCAGTGGCTGTTACTGATTGGAAAGTACAGGTAAATACTAGACAGCACAGCTTTAGTTAACAGCAAATTAAGTTCCACCCGAGAACCTTCGTTACTGTCCCTTCTACTTAAGAATTCAGGACTTCTGCCTGCTCATCTATTCATATTATTTGAGTGTTTCTTTTCCTGAGTTATTTGTTTCGTATCTAATATTCTGCCTATCCTGTTTACCTTATCATCCCTATTGGAAATCTATTTCCTGAGACTATACAAGTTGGTGGCAAAAGAGAAAGCAAGTAAGAAAGAAAAACATACTTCAAAAAAAAAAGGCATAATAAAGAAACGCAGCTAAACTTCACAGATTGTAGAGCTCAATGAGGCATTCCATTTCTATCTCTCTGAGTCTCCTCACCTAAAGCTTGTAGTTTAACTCGTCCAAGACAATACTATGCCAGAATTCCATAAATTTTAGGCATAACTTCTCAAATTTAAACGAAGACCCACATCAACTGGCGAATATTAAGATTCAGCTCTAGGGTGGAGACTTTGAGATTTAGCATTTCTCACAAACTGGGTAAGGTCAGTGAACCCTATGCCGTCAGTCCATGGATTTGGATTTGGAATTAGCAAGGCTTTAAACAAGAGACACTTTATGCTTCCTTAAGATTCATTATGTAACATATACATACATAACAAAGCGACACAAATTTAAACAAGAAATTTATTAACAAATATAAACAAATCATTTACTGTTCTTATAAATTTTGCTTTTACATAAGTAATCGATATTATACAAAACATTTACAAGTATATGTACAAGACTCCCACCTATATGAATCCTCTGGTCCACGTGTATATTATCTCTTATCTATAAGAGAAATCTAAAATGTTAATATTTAAATATTAAAGATTTACATATTTCTTTGTCATTGTTTGTAATTGCAACAATTACCACTAAATGACTCCCAGAGATGGAATAATGTTAGGAACACACACTTGCAATAAAGTGCATTTCAGTCAACCTTATACATTAGTTTTCTTTTTTTAGACAGGTACCCACAGTCCATATGGACTTTTTTTCTGGTCTATTTTGGGGGATCCTGAAGAGGTCTCTTCAGCAGCAGCTTTAGCGGATTTCTGAAGCATTGGCTTTGCTACAGAATTCTGTAAGAGAAGAAATTCTTAAGTCAGCTATGCAAACACATACTTGTACTCAAAATACTTGTTTTACAAAATATACTAAATAATTCCATTAAAGATTAAAACTTGAGACACCATCCAAAAGCAAAGAATGGACCCCATATTTATCACATGATCCAAATTGTAAAGCCTACTTTAAAAACTACTAGGAAAAATCAGACATGTGCAAAGTTTATTACAAAATAATGCATTGAAAGTTTTGTTTTGTTTAAACCCTTGGCTGATTTTAAAATATTCTGATTACAGCGTTTTCTGAGATGTGCTTTCTAAATAATTCAACAAGTATAGGAGGGATGTGTAAAAAAGTAAAACACGGATATCAAAAATGTGAGTATCAGATACAGAGGGAGCCAATATACTGGTCACCTGTAAGAATGGTACAAAAAATTATGAAAGGTTTATTCTATATAAAGTGGCTTAGTAGACCCCAAAGTACCACCACAAAAACAATGAGCCTTCCAACAAAAATAAAAGCCCACATAATAGAATTATGTCCCTAAGTCCAATTTTGAGTAGTCAATGCCTAGATATACTTACGTTAGAGCTAAAAGCTATGCTTTTTTGCTGGGAAGGCTTTTCACTGGGATTTTTAGTTCCATCTTCTGCTTGTCTTTCCAACAGCTAGAACAGGTAAGAGAAAAAATACTTTAAAAAAACCATACCCTTGGTTTACCATACTGTATAAAATGCAGCCCAACCATATATAAATTTAGTTGTAGAGACACAAATCGACTTGGATCTAATCATATACTTAACAGCCTAAACGACATTAGTATTCCAGCTTTCCCCTTAACAAAACTGATTCAATAATCAGCTTAAGACACTCTTCCCCAATAAAATAGTATTATATTCCCCTGGTGCAAATTCAATTAACTCTGAAAGTAAAGTCATACCAGAAAATACCTAGTTTCTAAGAACTAAGGCGTTTGCCAGTTGGAAACCTAATCATCTGAAAAAGCAACCGGACTAAGATCTTGTTCATTACTAAATACTTAAGCAAACCCACACCTGGGTTTGAATGATAGGTTTATCTAGAGAACATTTTTCCTATCTTAACTGATTCTGTCAAACTCATAACTACCTTAAACCTTGAAGGCTATGAATTTTATACTTTAAGACCACAGTGCAATTTTCCAATGCACATCCTGGACATTTCTGGAAAATTATAATAAACTTATCTGCAAGTGAAGCAGGCCTCTTCTTCTGTAATCTCTCAAAACATCTGGAATATATTGCATATATTATGAAAGGGACATCTGTATCACAGATGTCCCACATTACAAAATGTTTAAAAAAAAAATTGTCTTCAGTATCTTATCAAAATAGTACCTATCCCAAATTCTAGCATGCACATGGATCTACCAACAAAAAACTAAACTTTCAGTGTGTGAACATAAACTTCAAATTAGTAAAACCTCTGATGTTTTTGCCCATGTATCAATTACCAACAGATTTTCTTCATCAATGTCTGGAGACCACATTCATGATTTCTATAAGACAGAAATAAAGCAGATAAACTATACTGTATGTTGAATACAGAATTTGTGGGAACATAATGCTGCAAATGAAAACTACAGATAAAATACTCTGTAAAGGCTAGTTAGAAAAAGTCGATAGGTACATAGAAATCGCCAAATACCACCTACAACTATGAAAGTAATTAGTACTGTGTCACATGAAAATGAAGATCACTAATCTCCCATTTTCACGAGGGAGAGACCTTCACTAGAGCTGCTATTTTGATCTTAATTATATTTAGGCTTTCCAAGAAGCACTCTAAAATAAATCCAATAAAAATGGCCAATTAGATCTTTCCAACAGTAGCTTTCTGAAGATTTTGTTTGGATAAACCTAGAGTACTTACCTCAAACGTTGCACCACTGTTTGGTACAGCTGTTCCATGGTTCGTCTCTTTAGATGCAAGAACTTTTCTGAGACTAGCCGGCAAGTCAAAGTTAGCTGTCCCTAAAGCTTTTGCTGCATTGGCTTTTGCTATTTCTAACAGCTCCATTCGATCTACAAAAACAAGACAAGACATTCCTTAATCCTGTAGTACATTTCCCCAAAGACTGCCCAATCACAAAACAAGCTTGTATTTTATTTAGATTAACAATAAAGACATTTAAATATTTTATTTTAGTGGGTAAAATACAGCTGGAATCACAAAAACAAAATTCTATACCTCATTTTTTTGCTAAAAAAAGCAAGCAAGCATCCCTAAATAATCTTCAACAACTGGTTTTCAGTTTTCCTTACCAAAGGCCTGAATTTCCTAATTGTTTTCCCTTTCTCTTCAAATGTGTTTCTCTGAACGTATCAAGGTTTTTTTGTAATAGATTTTACATATGGCCCAATCATCACAACTAATGAACCAATGCAGATACAATCCATTTTCAGACTCCTATGAGTTTGAGTTTACATGTCTTTTTCTGTTCTGTGATCTTACCAGCATTAAAATAAATCATCTGTATTAAAATACTGGAACTGCAGCGCCTGGGTGGCCCAATCGGTTAAGCATCTGCCTTCCGCTCAGGTCATGATCCAGGAGTCCCAGAACGAGCCTCCCACAGGGCTCCCTGCTCAGTGGGGAGTCTGCTTCTCCCTCTCCCCCTCACCGCACTCATGCTCTCTCGAGTAAATAAAATCTTAATCAGTAAAATATTGGAACAAACTCCAGTTGTTCCAGTAACACGGTATTGAGGGAAAAAGTTGATACTCTTCTTCCCGCTCAATAGATAACAAAAGCTTAAGGAATAAACTACTGAGTCACTAGTAATACCTAGAAAGGCTCCACCGAGAAGGGCCAGCCACTAGGAAAAAGGATTTCCTCCACCGCGAGCTGTTTAATACCACAGCCGACTTCTAGACCCCAAGGGAAAAGAACGTCCACTTTAAAACGGGGCACCAAAAAGAGCGCTTTTAGCTGCTCTTAACCTGCTTACGTGTGTCCCTTCCCTCTTTGCTCCCAACGAAACTACTAAGATTACAGGCACCAAAAGCAATGGAAATACCCACACTACACGGCAACTCTGGTCCCCCCGCGTACTCGCGCTGTTGCCAGCCACGTACAAGGATGCGCTGGAAAGGTTCGCGGCAGATGACTCACCTTTCTCACTCAAGCGAAAAGGGGTGGGGCTCCGCGACCTGGTCCGGGCGCTGCCCCTCCATCTTCTGCGTTTCTCCGGGGTCACGGCGCGGCCGAAGCCGTAGTGGCGCCGCCCCCGCGGCAGCGCGTAGGCCCGTCGGTAATACGCGCGTCCCCGCGAGCCGGACCGGCTGCGAGAGCGAGGCCGCCACGGCGACCGGCGGTATCTGTTGGACGCGCCGTAGCGCCTGTCCCGGTACCGGCGGCCGCGGGAGCGCGAGCGGCTGCGCGAGCAGGAGCGCGAGTGGCGCCTGTACTTCCTCTGGTGGCGCCGCCTGGACCAGGACCTGGACCTGCTCCTCCTTCGGGGCCGGCTCCGACTCCGCGACGACGCCCGGCTCGAGCCGCTGGAGCGGGACCGAGAGCTCCCAGAAGACGAGCGGCTCCTGGACGCCGAGGACAGGCGGCTGGACCGGCCCGACCGAGACGTCGAGGGGGACTCCTTGTCCTGCGGCGAGCCGGGCCACAGGTCGTTCACGTACTGAGACATCTCGGCCCGGGGCTGCAAACTTCCCTCCGTCTCTCAGGATCCCTACCCGGAAACTAGGCGCCTAAGAACAACCGGGGGGGGGGGGACCGGAAGTGAGTCGCGCGGGCGGGCCCCAAGCCAATAAACTAACCGAGCCGCTCCGACTCCCAGAAGTGGCAATCCCAAAGGCCAGCCTGCCCGCGTCCCCTTCGTGCGTCACCCCCGCCTCACGTACCTGGGACCGACCCCGTCACCAGTAAACTTACCACCACAGGCCGCCAACGCCACACCGAAGGCCAAAGGAAAGGACGAACAGAGGCCTTCCTTTCCGAAGCTGAAGATGAAGAGAGGCTTTTCAAAGCGGCTCTTGAAAAACCAGATACTCGACCTCTCCCTCCGACCTCCGGACGCCGACGTCCGCAGACGCGCCTAAAATACCAGAAGCTGACGCGCAGAGCATGCGCAGAAACGTTGGAGCGGTGGGCGTGGCTCCCCTCTCGCCCAACCGCCGCCCTTTGTCCTCTCTTCCCGCGCCCCGCCCCGCCCCGCCCACCTTGCGCAAAGTCCTGGATGCGCATGAGTCATCGTCCCCCGGGGTGGGGGGGAGCGGGGGTGGACCTGCTGCATCCGGGTATCCGTGGGCATGTTCTTTGTTGAAACTGGTGGAGTGGGGGATTTTCGCGCGACCCTCTGCTGGGCGGGTGCGGACTGGGCCGTTGCCTCCACCCTCTGGGAAGTTGCAGAATCGGGCTGAACCTCCCTGGACCCTTCACGGCCACTTCTTCCTGACCAGTGCCGGGCTGCGGACTTCCCAGGATCTCTGTTAGTGCAGTATTAACTTAGAAAAGGTTGCTTATGCCCATGTTTTGCCTAGTAAAGGTGAAGAAAGTTGGAGACAGAAATGCAAGACACCCACAGTTGATTTATATATAACCAGGGGGTCAGAATGACTGCTGAGAAGTCAAATCCGAGGACTCTGTGCTTGGTGTCGGGGATTAAACAATGGTGACTGTTTTATTTCCGGGGATTTGTAAATGGGATACATTCCGAACATACTTAGGCTTAATAAAGCATGACAATTGCCTTGAAATAACTTTTCTTTGAATGAACTAATCACATCTGTAAATAGTCATTATATGAGCTTCTTTGCAAGTCAAGAGTGGCGGTTTTACTAAAGTTACTTTCTTTGGAGGAGATACAAATAAATTTTTCTCTTACTCATCTTCAGCCCACATCTCCAAACAGGCAAAGAAATGGAGGGGATAAAAACCTTATCACAGAATCTGCACCCACCCACGTAACCTGCCTTGGTACAGTTCGCAGTACCATCCACATCTCTAGGGAAACATCAAGACGGAAATCGTTCTTAAGGAAAGAAATGTTTCTTTAGAAACGTTTTTCTAAGTGGTATCACAAGTAAACTGAGAAGACAGAGTGCACAACTGCCAGGAACTTTTCCTGAAATTTCTCATGAAGCTGTATGAGTGGACAGAAAAATAAAATGAGTTTCAGATTTGAAAAGTGTAAAAAGGATGTGTTGGGGGAAAATAGGATGATGGAGTCTGGAGCTTTCGGTTATTAAAAAGGAAAGGGTGGTACTCTGTAAATGGTTCAAAATATCAGTTAAATGTGTTCCTAAAATAAGGTGAGTAGACTTACCTTTCTCCTTTCGCCTTTTCTCCTCTCTTCCTTGGGCATGTTCTTTGTTGAGATCCAAGAGACAGGATCAGAGGAGCTTTCAACCAAGGGGCCCACCTAGAGTGAGCTACAAAGAGGAAAAAGAGCTCTGAGTGATTCTGACATAGAAGACATATTCATTGATCTTACATCACAGTCTACTCCTTATTCCTGGACAGTAGGACAGTGAGTAGAAAAATCCTGGATGTTAACAGAATATTGGAAACAATGGGATCTGTTACCTTGCCCTTGTGCATGATATTGGTATATTTGTATCTAGAATATGTGTAAGTCTACCTGAGTTAAAGTGCAAGAAATGTGTTTCTTTTTTTCTAAGCAATACAGTCTTCTCTGAGTATCTATCCCCTCACTTGATTCAAAATCCAATTTTGCTTATCATTAAAGCATCTTGCACAGAATTTGTAGGCTAATTCAGGTAGAAATGACATCTTTACAAATAGCACATCTTCCCATCCAAAAATGTGACCCTTTTCTACATTTATTTAAAATTGTTTAGGTCCTTCACTGTGATAGGCAGATTAATGGCCCCCAAAGCTGTCCACACCCTAATTCCCAGAACCTGGGAATGTTACCTTACAAAAGGAATTTTGCAGATGTGATTAAAATTAAGGACCTTGTGAAGACATTATCCTGAATTATGGAGGGATGGGGGAGGTAGGCCCAATCCAATCACTGGAGAAATTCAAAGCCTGAGAAGGATGCCACTCCCTGTTGCTGCTTCTGAAGTGTTGAAGGCTATCTGCAAGGGCCTGAGAGGCCTCAAGGAGCTAAGGTCTGCTCCTTGCTGACAGTCACCAAGGTAATGAGATCGCAGTCCTATAACCTCATGGAATTGAATAGTGCCAACACCTGAATGAGCAAGGTGTTGGAGATTCTCCCCTAGTCTCCAAAAGGAACACAGCCCTGCTGACGCCTTGACTTTAACCAATATGAAAGATTTTTTTCACTTGATAGGTAAATTCAACCCATTTACATTTATTGGAGTAACTGCAATGTTGATCTTATAGTATCTTATTTTACTTTGCTTTTTTCACTTTTTCCCATTTTATTTTGCCAGCCTGATCAAGTTTCTCTTTTTTCCCCTCTCTCACTGCCCATTTAGAGGTTCCACAATGCTTCATCATGCCATTAGTGGTTTAATGGTTATTTTTTTATCTCTACCAAATATTTAAGTCTGTTTCTCCTCTCCTCCTGTCTTCTTCCACAAATATTTATAGAATGTTTATTGTATTAGATGCTGTTGGGTAAGTTAAGAAAAATTTAGTGGCCCTTTCCCCTAACAAAATTAAAATTTTTCATTAATTTTAATGACAGCTAATTTTGTAACGAGTGAGGAAATCCAAAGATATACAAAGTAAAAGCTAATAATCCATTCCTTGGAGATATGAAGTCCTCTAAAAGAGGTCCCCGTTATTTTGCCCATATATTAGAAGTAACCAATGTTAACAGTTTAGCAAGTGGCCTGTCATCTTTCTCCAAGCTCTTTCAAATATACAAGCATGTGTAGATTTTTATGAGTATGGACTCATTCTAAAAAAACTGATTTAAAACTTGCTTTTATAACCAATATTATTTGAGATAAATCATCTAGATCTAATTTATGTTTATCAGCTGTATAATATTCCATAGTGTAGAAATACCAGAAATTAATCTTTTTTCCCTTATTGCTTATTCCTGGACAGTCATGTGGTATCCAGTTTTTCCACCACTAAAAACTATGCCTTGGAACCAGTGTTGGATTCTGGAAATGTCAGCAGTTGCAGAGCTCCTTTGAATGCTCCTAATCCATGGTTTCAAGGTCAACAGAGCCATGTTCAGGATACAACCTGGAGCAGCTGATTGCAATTAATACCCCAGCACTATCTGAGGAGTTACCTCCAAGATATGTGACATGGTAGCTCAGGGATAAGTTCAGCTCTCTCAGACCAAGAGACAGGATCAGAGGAGCTTTCAACCAAGGGGCCCACCTAGAGTGAGCTACAAAGAGGAAAAAGAGCTCTGAGTGATTCTGACATAGAAGACATATTCATCGATCTTATATCACAGACAAGTTGATATCAGACATCTCTGTTGTTAGAGCGGCTGTAGAATCGTTAGCTACAGTCACCAGTGCAACAATCAAGGCAAGTAACACAAAGATCAATAAACTCCAGTCTGATGTGACATTCCTGTGTTCCAGTATGTCCCAAGGAACTCCTCCCACTGGTTCAATCATCACCCCATGTGGGTTCATGCTTCCACTGCCTACAGTTATTGAGCTGAGCTATTATTCCTTTTTTTTTTTAAGATTTTATTTATTTATTTGATACAGAGAGAGAGAAAGCACAAGCAGGGGCAGCAGAAGAGGGACAGGGAGAAGCAGGCTTCCCGCGGAGCAGGGAGCCCGATGCGGGGCTCAATCCCAGGACCCTGGGATCATGACCTGAGCTGAAGGCAGACGCTTAACGACTAAGCCACCCAGGCACCCCCAGGCTGTTATTCCTACTGCTCCTCCTGATAACCATTTCTCAGTTTGGTAGCTCTGGCATGGAAATATCAGGCTCACAATGCTATTCAAGAGGCACCCCTCTATATATCAAGCTTAACACATGTTTCCCGCCATGAAGACTTACCACATGAGGATGTTATCTGTAACATCACCATGGAAGCTGCTCTCCTCTGTCCCCACTGCAGCCACCATAGAGAGGTGTTAGGGATTCTGTACTGTCATTTGGCTTTGAAGAAGCCAGGAAAGCAAGTGAGCAGCACACAGATCCAGATGTGTATCTGCCAATATCATTCCTAATAACCCACAAAGGTGCAATTACTGGTGGTGGTATTACAGTATAAGGACAGATCCATGCCTCTACCTAACAAAGAATGTGACATTCATGTCCATGCCTAATGGCCACCCAAATCGCTTGTTTGAGAATTACTCAACCCTGCGAGCAATATAACTCTTCAGTGCACACCTTGCTCACTAGGGTACTCAATCAGACAAGCTGTCTCAGCCACACTCACCTGAATGTCAAAGGAACCGTCATTAACCATATGTGGATTATGTTACACGTATTACAAATTCCTTCACAAGGAATTTGACTTCAATGATAGCACAGTAATCGGAGGTAAAATAACTAGACAATGTCAACTGGTCCAGAATGGAAACAGGTGAAATACTGCACAAGGCTACACTATTGATGCTGTAAGACTTCCTTTTCAAAGGTTAGATGGCATGTAGTCTACTGCATGCCTGCTCCCTCAAGTCTTTCACAGCCTTCAGTTGACCGTGCTTGATTTTTGCTGCCTTCGCTCAGCAACCAAACAATCTCAGGTACTGTCTCAGGAGACTGGGCACTTGTCCGGCCTGTGTAAAGATGAACTATTCTGTCTTTAGCCTAACAACAGATAGCCTCTACTTCAAGGTACAATGCAGTGAAGCCGTGTTTTACCAGCTGGACAGGATCTTATATAGTAATTTGCCTTCCAGAGGCAAAGGATGATACATATCAACTAATCTGACCAATAAAATGTGCCTTGAGTAGTCACCCTGACCATTGCCCTCATTTTCAGCAACCATTTTGTCAAAGCACATTAATGGGCAAGTTTTTACTGGGAGACATCCATCAGGATCTTATAGCAAGCTCTCATGCTGGATCCATTGTATTATGCAATTAGACCTAAATCTGATCTCTCTGAAATGTTTTTTTTTTTTTAAAGATTTTATTTATTTATTTGACAGAGAGAGACAGAGTGAGAGAGGGAACACAAGCAGGGGGAGGGGAGAGGGAGAAGCAGGCTTCCCACAGAGCAGGGAGCCCGATGCGGGGCTTGATCCCAGGACCCTGGGATCATGACCTGAGCCGAAGGCAGATGCTTAACGACTGAGCCACCCAGGGGTCCCTCCCTTGCATGTTTTGTGCATGATCAGTGCACCCACATGAATAGTACTTTATGGCACATTAGATTACCTTCATTTACTTTCCTCCATCCACAAGACTGGCTTGGAGAGTTAACCTCATGGGCAGCTTGGCTGGGTGAGATTTTAAACCTTGTAAGACTTGCAACTTTGCTAGGAACAAAAGTCACACACAATTTTATTTTTTTTAGATTATTTATTAGGGCGCCTGGGTGGCTCAGTTGGTTAAGCAACTGCCTTCGGCTCAGGTCATGATCCCAGGGTCCTGGGATCGAGTCCCACATCGGGCTCCCGGCTCAGTGGGGAGCCTGCTTCTCCCTCTGACCCTCTCCCCTCTCATGCTGTTTCTCTCTCGCTTGCTCTCTAATAAATAAATAAATAAAATCTTTAAAAAAAATAGATTTATTTATTTATTTTAGAGAGAGAGAGAGAGCAGAGGAGGGGAGGGGCAAAGGGAGAGGGAGAGAGAGAATCTCAAGCTGACTCCCTGCTGAATGTGGAGCCTGATGCAGGGCTCCTTCTCACGACCCTGAGATCATGACCTGAGTCAAAACCAAGAGTCAAGAGTGGGACGCTTCACCAACCGAGCCACCCAGGTGCCCCAGTCACATGCCACTTTAAGTGCTGGTACTTTCACTGTTAAATCATAGACTCTCAAAAGTGGAATTGCTGGCACTGAGAAATACATAGAATTGTTGGATCATTATATTGTACACCTGAAACTAGTATAACACTTGAATATATGTTAATTATACTTGGATAAGGAAAAAGAATGAATTTCTTGGTTAAAGGGTCTATATGATTGGGATGCCTGGGTGACTCAGTCGATTAAGCATCTGCCTTCAGCCCAGGTCATGATCCCAGGGTCCTGGGATAGAGCTGGCAGCCTGTTTCTCTCTCTGCCTGCCATTCCCCCTGCTTGTACTCTCTCTCTCTCTCTGACAAATAAATAAAATCTTTGAAAAAACAAAAAAGGGTCTTTGTGATTGAATATATTGCGGTATTATTTCCAAAGAGGTTGTAACAACAATATACGAGAGAACGCCTTTCTGATGCCCTGGATCAGTTCATTTCCCCCATTATAAGTTATCTTATTTTCCTGTGCCTCATATTATTAGCATTTATCACAATTGTAATAATTAGTTTTAATTCATTTTGTATCATTTTCCTGCTAGAACATAAATTACGTAAGGACAGCCTTGTTTTTATTGAACCCCAGCATAACATTCCAGACAGTACACTGCATAGAGTACACACTCAGTGTTTATGAATAAACAAATGAACAGAATCTCAAATAAGTCTTGAAGGATGGGCAGAGGGAAAGGAAGGGAACATTCCAGAGAAGGACAAAGGTCTTAGCAAAATCTTAGAAATGGAAATGCCCATTTTATTATTTGGGGACAGAAAATAAGTGAGCTTGACTAGAGCAAAGAGTTTGGGGTGGGGAATTTGGAGGAGACAAAACTGGAGATGCAGAATTAGGGCAGCTTATGATGAGACATAAATGTGAACATCTGCTTCTCAAGCAGCAGGGTCCTAGTTTGTCCGAAATACTGAACTGCCTGCCCTTCCAAAGCTAACTGGATACACTGAGATGGTAAATAGTTTTACTTAATTGGATTGGAAAGAAGAAAATACTTGCAGGATTTGGGGAATAAAATTCAAAAGGCTTTTAGTTTTAATATATGCTCTCCTTAAACAGACACCTAAAACAGCTATGGTACAAAAATGCATAATTTCACACCTTATCATGCACTATAGAATATGACAAAATATTGTCCTTAATGAACATATTGAGCTTCCTTTCTACAACTTCCAGAATCCTCTGTCATGAGGATTTACTAAAGGAATTTTAAACTATTTTTCCTTGACATTCTGCTGAAAAGATTTCAATTAAAACTACAGGAAACAACAGGGCATAGATGACACTGGAAAATAGTAGTTTCTATGGGGTACTGGGAAGGAAAACTGGTAGGCCCAAGAAAACAGTGGGAAAACAGGAGTCAAGATAGGTTTAGACCAATTAGAATCGTCTTAAAATTGAAATACAATGTACTGGGCACCTGGGTGGCTCAGTCAGTTAAGCACCCAAATTTTGATTTCAGCTCAGGTCATGATCTTGGGGTCTTGAGATTGAGCCCGGCATCCAGCTCTGCACTCATTGTGGAGTCTGCTTGAGATTCTCTCTGTCCCTCCCCCTCAAATAAATATATAAATAAAATCTTTAAAAATTGAAATACAATGTACTTACCAAAACATTCATCCTTTTAAAGTATACAATCCTATGGTTTTTAGTGTATCTACAATGTTGTGGATTCCAGACATTCACTAATTCCAGAACTTTTCATCACCCCGCCAAAAAAATCCCTTACCCATTGGCAATCGTACCTCATTCCCTCTCTCTCCAGTCCCCTGCAACCACAAATCTACTTTCTGTTTGTGTAGATTTGCCTATTATGGACATTTCATATAATGTGGTCTTTTGTGTCTAGCTTCTGTCACTTAGCATGTTTTCAGCATTCGTCTATGTTGTAGCAAATATCCATATTTCATTCGTGGCTGAATAATAGTCCATTGTTTGGATATACCACATTTTGTTTATTTTTCATCAGTTGGTGGACATTATGTTGTTTCTACTTTTTTGCTATTATGAATAAAGCTGCTATGAGCACCCATGTACAAGTTTTTGTATGAACATATGTCTTCAGTTCTCTTGGGTACATACTTAAGAGTGGAATTGCTGGGTCATTTGATAATGCTGTGTTTAACTTTCTGTGGGATTGCACCATTTTACATCCCCCCCAGTAATGTATGAGGGTTCCCATTTCTCTACATCCTTGCCAACACCTTATTTTCTCTCTTAATTTTTAATGACAGTGGGTATGAATTTAAAGGCGTTTTGGTGAAAAGAAAAGCAAAGAATTGGGCTGGTGGCTAGAGAAGGTGGTTGGATCAAGCTTTTTTGTTGTTTTTTTTTGTTTGGAGGTGGGCTATATTATACATAGCATATTTGTATACTGATGGAAATAATCTCATAGAAAGGGGAAAATGGATGACATGGGAGAGATGTTGGACAGTTGTG